CGCAATGAGCACAAGACATTTTAATGTTTTTCCTCAGATATTTGATGGTCTCCGGTGGGGTACTGCGTCAAAAAAATAAACCGCGAGGAGCCAAATTTGTCACTTTTAGGGCCAAAGGCCATTTATGACTGAGGCTTTTGTCCGACTCGGGTGTCAGCGCCGCAGGCCTAGGTTTGCTAGGCGCGTCACAGTGTAAAAGTGTTTCGTGGGATATCGCGAAGCCTGTTATAAGCGAGACGTGGTCTGGGTTACATCTACCTAGTTATTTTGTTAGTAAATACTATAGGATGCTCTTTCTTATTAGTAGTTCTTAACAAAATAATTAGTACAATTACTTACTCATTTTTTGAGTATTACTGGCTGTATAATATAAACGAGTTCATTGTCTATTTGCAGAATGGCAGTAACGAAACGAGCTGGGAGTGAGAATTTTCCAACCGCCTCACAGTGGGAGATTTAGGTTCAAAATCGCGACAAAAGTCAATTTTTCCCATGATCAGCATATAATTCCGAATTACGGAATTTTCTAGGGTTCTGCCATCAAAAACCGTAAAAAACCTGCCAATTCAGTGAAAAGTGCAAAATTCATCCACCCTACCCACCCTTCCCCAAAAACGTTACTATAATTGCCAAGTTTTCGGTTCTGTTTCTATGAACGCCGTACAGCCACAAGGAAAAGTATGCTCACGTGTTCAAACACACACATATCACATGCTGTGGCACTTTTTTGGCAGAGCCAGCCGGGCACTTCCACTCCAAAAGGCCAGTTTTAAATGCTCAGCATCGCCAAGGTGGCAGCTTGCGGCACCTGTTCTCAAGCGGGAGACGCTTATTAGTGTCGTAGCTACCGTTAGACCGTGTTTTTCTCAATTTCGAAGCATTTTACCAAAGCGACTGACGGAGCGTGTGAGGCAGAGCCAAGCGCAAGGGTCGGTTTAAACACATCCTAGCCGAAACACAAGCGATCGAAGGGAAGTGAAAGTGAAGGAAAATGGTGACTTTAGGTGTCATCTACCGATATCAAACAGAAAAATCCGTTGATTCTAAAGATTAGATTTTTGACTTTTGTCGCAATTTGGAAGCCAAATCTCCCACTGTGCGCCTCCTCAACCATGTATGGCATTCTGCAATCTCGCCGCGTGAGCTTCTTGGACCGCCCTTGGACGAACCGATGGTACACTACCCTTTCACAAAGCAAATTAAAACTGATAAATTTTGAGCGAGTGGAGGTCTGATTGGTCCAATAGGGTATTTCAGAGCTGGAGGTGAAGAAGTAAAATGGATGAACAAAACTCGCTGCGCGCACTGCTAATGCGCAGACGCGGAGCGGGGAAAGCAGGGGATGGAGTGGGGGGCGTCTGCTCACATGCGCAGTGCGCGTTTTGTTCTTCCATTTTACTTCCTATAGCACTGATATACCTTATTAAGGTGCTGATGCGAAAAAGGTTCAGTTACTCTACTCACATCAGGTACTCAACCCTATACAAACATGTGATCTTTCCTTCACGCACGTGATATCATCGCTGAATTCACAAGCACTCACGAGTGCAAACGTCTACTTCTGCCCTCGTCCGTCATCCCCTTGCGCTGCCGTGGCCCAGCTCAGAGTTCTCAAACGGGTGGGTCCCTCTACCCGCACGCCAGGCGAGCGAGAGAGCGCGCGCTACGAGCCGAGCCGAAAGGTGACGCAGCCGGCTCGGCTCAGGGGGGGGCAATGCAGCTTTGAGCCTAAATTTCCAGCTAAATAAGCGAAATAGAGGTGATTGGTCGCACCGCTACGACAAAACTAGATAATGACAATAATTTGCAGAAAAATATTTCAAAATGGTTTTCTAGTTTTTGTTTTCTTTTGAAAAATGCACCGTGAGCCGAAGAAATTCTTCTTTACTTTGTAGTTTCGAAGAAATTTGGAATAAAATTTCAGTTTTAAGTTTATGAAACAAAACGTCTTTGTTCTAAAGAGTAAACACGATGAGTAAATCTACGATTCTAAACTAAATTAGCAAGATATCGCGGTTAGAGCGATTGATCCCCCACTTGCACCTCTCGTTCGGTGCGGCGGGTAGCCCATACCCGCACGGACCCACCCGCCCCACCCGCAGTGGCGGGTCCAAAAGCAGCCGCAAGACCCACCCGTTTGAGAACTCTGGCCCAGCTGTCCTCGCCCTAGCCGCGCAGCGAGTACTTGTGGCGGCGCCTGGTGCAGCGCCGGCGCTCGCCGCTGACATGCATCCCGCCCGGGGGCGTCCGCATGCGCGTGTGTCGACTGCTCGCATGCGGCGCCATGCATGAGTAAAGCGCCCCCGCCCCGACCGGCGTGGGGAGGGACACGCAACTACCAGTCCAGGTGCCTCGTGCCCCGGGGGTGCGATTCGCAGTCCTGCCCAACGCTTCTGGAGCTTCAGCTCTAATGGCTCGCGGCTCACCCACACGGGGGCACGGCAAGGGTGAGATGTGCAGACCTGTTGGTAAACTCGTCAGATTTCAAGGGGTCGTCTTCTCATAAATTGAGGAAAATTCCCTCATCTTTCCAGTGGACCTTCAAAAAAGGAAGTATGCAACCGTGCCCAATTCACAATGTTATAGTGGTAGACCAAGAAGGTGGAGGGGTCCAAGGAGCTAATCTTAAGGGGGCAGACCTCCCAATGAAAGGGAATGGGAAAATAGTCACTACATAAAAACTACACGCCGCATAAATTTAGGATAAAAGGGGTATTAAGAGCATAGATAGACGCTAATTTTGTCGTTAGCGCCGGTGCGCGCTCTCTCCACGAACGTGCCCATCTTCACCATCAACTGGAAGATGCAGTCCTTTCGGTGTGCACGATTGTGCTGCACGGATTGGTCTGCGACTGTGAACAAAATTACTACAAACTCTTAAAAGATGCCGCTAGTGGTTGACCTAGGGGTTTTGCAACTTTCGAGGTGGAAGTACGAAAAAAATAATAAAGCTGAAATACGAAAAATTTAGAAAATTAGTTTTGTTCATTGTGATTTTTTTCGAGCACTCCCATTTCAAAATTTGCAAAACCCCCAGGTCTATCCAGATAAGAAACGGTCCCAACCCGGTCCCGCTTTCCGGGCCCTGCGCTGATGAGGGCCGGTCCTGGTCCTTCCACCCGGGCCCGGACCGGGACCGGACCGAGACCGGGCTGGGACCGGGACCGCTCTTGTCCGGGTTTGGTTGGCCGGCCGAAACGGCCTAGCCCAAGGCCTAGCCCTAGACCCGGTCCGAGTCCGGGCCCAGTCCGGTCCCGGAACGAAGTACGGACGACCGACTGGAAGCGTCTGCCCGCCTGCTCGGGCGAACAGACAGCGCCGGAACCAGGGACCGGGTAGGGACCGTCAGGGGGGAAATCACTCCAGATCTGAGTGTACGAGTTAGTACGTTAGTACACGTTAGTACACCCTATTTTTTGGGTAATTTTTCATCATTTATGCAAAATAATGTTATTACAGCACTATTACGCTTGATTTTTACCACTAGTACGTGTTATTACGCTGTTAGTACGAGTTAGTACGTCTTTAGTACAGGCCTGGGTGTACGAGTTAGTACGCAAGTGATTTCCCCCTCGGGGACCGTTTCTCAACTCTGGGTCTACCACTAGCGG